AAACATATACATTAAATAAAGGACTGGGACAGGTGGCGTCGTCCTGTAATCCAGCTACTAGGAGGTCACGAATTGTGGATATTTATAGGCATGCACTGTGGATGTGATACTCCCTGGTGTGGATTAACGTCCGCACAAGTGAGTACTACGACTATCCGCAGTACTTTCCTGATAATAAGACCAATTCGTATATACCAAGGAAAAAATGTGGTTTGGATTCCATTATAAACTGTAGGTCCCCTAGTCGCCATTAGCTGTATGGGCTATTAATTAACAGCTGTGTCTAAGGAATGTCGGCCTTATTCACTAACAAGACTACAAGATCGCGCCACTCATCCTACACTCATCTCCATTCATACTTGGCTTAAAATACCTACTATGTATGGTCACCATATCATCGAACAGTATTAACAGTATAGTATTAGAAACATCAAATAAGGATTTATGAAACACAGTATAACCCCTCATATCTGGCCACGGCGGGATCAAGCTCCTGGCTGGAAAAAAACAACTCATTATAAATTAATTTGTATTATTCAGTAGTGATTGTATGATATGACCTTAAACCATAGTCTACCCTACACATTATATTATAAATTTAATCCTCCTTCCACAACCAACAAGAAGGAAGAAAGACTCTACTACTGAAGAAGGAGCTAGTGTGTATATTTGAAAAAGTTCATTTACATCTATTTTTGTCAGTAAGGTAAGCTTGCTATTAAGCACCACAATATCCTTAAATACTCCTGCCGCAGCAAACCTGCAGACTAAGCAAATGTCAATTTGTCTTATTGGATTAATACTAAAATATTTCTATAAACATGGCATATTAATTTCCCGTTTAACTAACATTAGATTTATCTAGTACTTAGGTTTGCAGCTAAGTAAATAGTTATTTGTGCAACTAGTGAGAAAAGTGAGCAATTGACTCACTCGAGAGAAATCCTTACTCAAGAGCCGTAGGCGAGTGAGGAATGGTTTCTCGAGTGAGGCAAATGCACTTTGAACTCGAGTTGCACATTATACTTTTCCTACAGTTACCATAAAACAAATAAATTGGTGAAGAAACATAACCTATTTTTACACAGAAGTGAACTTTTAATATAACATTTAATGTGAAGTGACAAATACAACAGTACAACAGCTGACCAGCTGATTTACAGCCAGTTTTGCCAACGTATTTCGCGCGCATACGACGTTGCCTGCATGTTACGCGTTTACTATTTCGTGCCTTCACGTTGAAAATCTGGAGTGAGACAAAGTAATTAGAGTGAGACAATGTTAACATTGTCTCACTGATGAGCGAATTGGCCACTTTGATTTCTCAAATCAATGAGAGAACATGTACATTGTTAGGTAACTGTAGGAAAAAGTATTTTTTTCGGCCAAATGTTAATAGTATAGGGTGAAATAAATTAATAATTTGCCGAATTTGATCAACATGTATCCATAAACAAGCAAACTATAACAAACAGTTTACTTAATCTTAACAAGAATAACATAAGAATTTTAAATTAACCACACAAAACACTTCGATATACTGAATGGTTTAGAGAGATTTTGGGAAGTTTTATGTTTGAGAGTCAAAAATAGGAAAAATCAATTTTTACCACATAAAACCCTTTTCCCATGGACCGATCATGCTAGTTTGCGAACTGGTTCAAGTTTATCCAGCCCTACACCTTCAACTCAAATTTAATGAAAATCAGACAAAAATTACTAGAGTTGTTGCATTCACGGACCGGACACACACAAATAAATCCTTATACATAAAAGAAATTTGAACGAATAGTGTTTTTGGCCTCTGAGGACATAAAAATTACAAAGTAAATCGGTCCCGGGCCTAGGTCTTACCTTTGGTAGTAACTAGTTTCCTATAAGAAAAAGGACATCTTTACAAAAAAAAAATGTCACTACAATTCAGATATCACAAACTAATTGTAAATCTTTATTATTATGTTATTGAGATGGGGACACTACATAGGTGGGTATTTTAACCCAAATATGAGTGAAGGATGTGTGTAGAATGGAATGTGATGATCTGTTTTGCTTTATTCCTGACTAAAATCAGTTGCTTCATTAGCCAGGATCATTTATTTAAACAAAGCCCAATGATCAGGAACAGCTGGGTCCAGTTTCGAGCCATCAAAAAGCTACTGGCCTTTCTCAGGATCGAACCAGCAACCTTTTGATTGTTAGGAGCACCATACCTCAGCTACCAAAAAAACAGTCACAATAATTTGGCCTTGAATATAATTAAGCCTTAAAATAGTAATTTCCTCTGAAATCTTTGTTAGTAACGAATCTAAATTACTGTATTGTGTACTAGTACAATTACTGTACAATATTTACTACAATGGAAATACAACCAACTGTTCTGCTGTTCTGAGGTTAACTGAGTAGTGACCCAGTATATTTAAATACTCCCGCCTCAGCAAACCTGCAGACTTAGCAAATTTCCATTTGCCTGATTGGATTTACACTAAAATGTCTCCTTAAAAATATTACATTTATTCCCTATTTAAATAGAATTAGTTTAACCCTAGCAGTGGCCAACCGTCGTCTGGTGACGGTTTGACGTTGATGCTTAGAATGGCCAGCCGTCGTCTGGTGACGGTATGGGCCGAAATTATTTTAACGGTAAAAAAACACTTATAATCAACTCAGATGAGAATAATATATATACCATTCCAAAGATCACATTCTGAACTTTCGTTTTATTACATAAACAAACCCTGTAGCAGGTATATAACAATGTCACGACGATTAGAAATCAAATGAATAATTGGCGCGGCACGACTTTAGCAGCCGACCCTTGGGAACTGGCAAAACACGTCTTGTTTGGCATTACCCTGCTCGGGTAATTTTTGTCTTGGAATGTTGCGGGTGGTACCACTGGATAGCCATTGATTTTATCTTCATTGTGGTAGTGATATTTTAGAACTAAATATTGATTGACAACCGGTACGATTTTATGAAAACAGCTGTTTTCGAAATTTATAACAAATGGCCAACCGTCGTCAGGTGACTGTATGGAAAATACAAATTACATACAGTGTAAGTTATTATTACTAGTCATATAGTATGTCATTTTGAAGAGGAAGGAATGTAGCTTGTGATAGTGGCAGCCCTGTGCTCAGGGTTATTTCCGTTTTCTCTCACTAAGACGACGAAAGTGAGTCACTACTGTCAAGGTCTCATACACAAAGTGCCTTGTATTCGCCATTGCGTGTTGTTGCCGGTGAGTTTTTGCTCTCGTTTTATCCGCGATTGATTACTAAATTCATTATTATTTCGTAATTTTTAGAAAATGTGTATTTGTATATAACAGTAATCTTCATGTATTTTATTATGCATGAATATTTACTGAATAGTGTCAAATTGTGTTTATAAAAGGTTGTATTTTTCTTTTAGTTATACTTTGAGGTTTTCCGTTTATTCATATTATTATGCCCCTAGCATGTAAAAACAAAAATTGTTACCCAACATTTTATACATTTTTATGTAGGTAATTGAATACACTACAAGATGTTTATGTTGGTTTGAAGTAAAACCATTTGTTACAAAAGTTTTATACTAAATACTATGATTTTTTTTCTCACAAAATCGCTAAAATACAAAAACATTATTTTATTTATTTATAAAAAATATTTTTACCATAAACTTTATGGCTTTTTTTGATTCCTTACTTCATTAGCTTTATAAACATGTATATATCATTATTAGTATACATATATATTATATAACTTTTTACAACACAAACTAACACTGTACGGTTTTTAATTTTTTCGGTTCTCCGTTTGTTATTATATTTCGCCCCAAAAACTTATAAAAAAATATATTTTCCTAACATGTTATATTTTTCTATGTAGGGAATTAGATTGTCTACAAAATGTATATATAATGAATTTCCCATAAAAAATCCGTAGAAAAAAAAATAACAAGGCCGCTTTTGAAATTAAAAAAAAAAAATCTTTCTTTCCACTTTACCGAAAAGAAAATACACTATCTAAATCATTATTATATTACTATTTCTAGATTCTCCTGTTCTTTCCGAACAAAATGAATATGAGGTTGGCTAGGTTTACTTGTACGGTTGAATTTTTACAAATTTTCAAAAATATGTCTGCAAAATCGCCCAAATGGGTTGGCCATTCCCAGTGTCTAACATTGGCCACTGCTAGGGTTAACCAGTACTTAGGTTTGCTGCAACAGGGAGGGTAAAATTTTTTTGTTGTAAAATGTTAATACTGTAGTTTAGTAACAAATGAATGTATTTTCCAAATTTGATCAATATATGTTCATAAACAAGCAAACTACAACAGTTGACTTATTCTCCATAAGAATAACATGGGCATTTTAAATTTACAATTTTTTGGAATTTCTCCGTAACCATTAGGCGCATAATAACGCTTCAATATACTAAATTATTTGTTTTTTAAGCTCTACAAAATGGTTTAGAAAGAAATTGTTCACCGGTCCAGGTCATATCATGAGTACTACGGTAATAGCTTATTCCCTATATGGGAAATTCGCTAAAACAAACAGTTAAATAAAAAAAGGAAAAACTCAATCAACGAAGACTAGTGCTTGCAACCAAGCCTCTGTAAAACACAATGAAAACATTTTAATATAGGCCTCTTAGAAATGGCTGAATAAACCGAGGCCTGATATCAGGGGTTCTACTAACTGTTGTGCTTTAAAGGCTTACAGGTCTAATAACTTGATTTGTTTGGTAATGCATTGAAGTTATAGCACAAGGAAGAAGGAAGCTCTTACACAATTTTAGGATCTAATCTTCAATCCGTATTAAGTAACTTGATTATGGATTTAAGATTTTTATCAGACATATGGCTGATTGTACTGTACTGGGAGGGTACTGAGACCCCTTTAAGTCAACAAAACAATAATTTGGCATATTTATACTAGACATTTACACAGTTAGATGGATAATAAGGTATATCATTGTATACTTTAATTGTTAATAATTATCAAGAAAGTAATTTAACAATATCATTTATTTCTCTCAAAATCTAAGTTAGAAACACATCCAGTTTTATTTTGTTATAAAAAATGTACAAAATGTACTAAGACACGTAACTCTAACTAACACTAATTTTAATTTAAGTTAAACATTGCAAGATGCCATAGAGCTACATTTAACTTATTCCCAGTAATAAACAAGCAGTACAAAAATTGTTACTATGTAACTGAATCTAATATTTGATCTTGACTATTGAGCAAATAGTCATTATGGAACGATACTTAACCAACCAGAATAGTTACATGGGACAGAAGTTAACTGGTAACTGTTGATAACTAGGCAACACTAGCTTAAGAGGAAAGAGAGTTCAGAGAGAGAGAATCATGTTTAATGTCAGATGACTACAAATCGCAATGTATAAACATAGTTAAGATTAAAAAACGTACTGGGGGAACAAGCTCTAAATAATGTTTGACATTTTATCATAGCTCAGTACATTTTCAATGTATAATCATTGACTAAAAAGCAATGAACCAGATCATAAAAGTGTATGGCCAAGTCTTTGTTATAATTTATAAACAAAATTTTACTGAAACTTTTATAGTAAAAGCGTCGCATTATTACATCATTCCAGTTCATTATAATTTAAACAGTTTACAAACGAATTTACTACGGTACATAATAAAAACTAGGAAAAAAAATTGTAGGTATAAACCTTTAACATGTAAGTAAGTATGGCATTATTATACCATTGCTGTGATGAACTGGCTAGTTGTTTTAAAAGTCAGTTTATAATCACTCAGTAGCTTGAAATAATTATTAATTTTAATGTAAAAAATATTCTCTTTGCCAATATCAGCATGGAATTGGTAAAACTATCAATTATCAACTATACGTTTTCAGTGTGCAACAACTTTAAATTACGAACAAATCAGATAACAATATAATCATGTAAACATGTGGCTATCAGAGTAAAATTTTATTTCAACTAATCTTTTTCAACCCTTTTAATGCAATACACACTTCAAAAATTCACTGACAAAGAAGTGGTTAAATAATTAAAAAGATGAAAGTTCATCGTAATTTTTGTTTCAAGCGATAGAATATACAATCTTTATACAGCAAGCAATATTTTGTACTTTCATGCACGATTGTGTGGATTTGTTTCTGAAAAAGGTTCAAACAATTTATTTGTACTGTAATAATTAATTCTTTAAAAAATCTAGATGGATTTTTGGCAAAGATAGATTAGTCTACTTTTGTAGGAATATTGAAATAATTGAAATGATAATTTGAGACTCATAATGTTTTAACACAAAAGCTCTTAACTGGATCGGATGGTAATAACACTAATACAAACTGGTGTTTTATTTAACTTTATGACCGGTCTTGGGCAATAAAAATGTATCCAATGATAAAAAAATGCCTATTCTTTTTTACATAAATTTACCAAAAGTATAGGTGCTCTGTTAGTTTCTTTGATAATCAACTACTCCAAAGAAAAATATTTAGGGAACAAAACTATGGTCCCAGAAAAAATCCTATTTGATTGTTATGGACTCATTTCCCTCCTAAGCCTTAACATAGCCAAATATCTAACATAAAACATGCATGATTTGTGTACGGTCATAACAAAAATGGTAACAATAAATGTAAAAATTCAATGACTACAAAAAACTTAACAGAAAAATATAATCATTATTGTATTGACAGATATGTTTAAATGTATGCTGATAAACCTTTATAGTTAGTGTATGAAAAGAAAAACTCACTACTTGTCAATCCGTATCAAAATAAATTATTAGATTTGAAGTATATTTAAAAAATAACTCACACATTGATTAACACTGTTACCCCTCAAAACCTAACTAAAACTGACATACATTTAAGCTAGTTCTTTTGTAAACTGTTACATATAAATACAACCAAAAATTATTATTGGATGTTGTTTTACTAAAGTAATGATATAGTCTATATTAATTATTCAAGGGACATAATCTTACCATAAACCAGTTAGAACTTTAAAAACAGTTTTAGCAGCAATATGTGTCTTTTTTTAAGCTTCAGTTGGTACAATAACCAACAATTAAAAACAAACAAAAATAATCATTTAGAACCAAAACCTTTTTCAACATGGATTCAGTGCTAACGATTCATGACTAGAGCAAGCAAAGGTTTATTTAGTCTTGTCAAATTAATTTTGTGCTTTTTCAAATTGTAAAAACATAAGGACATTGGTCCCAGAAAATTGTTGGGTTACAAAAATCAAAATGATGTATGCAAAAATGTGATTTTAAAGAAAACAAAATCCTACAGTCAACCCCCCACCTAGTGAGTATTTTTGCTGCTAAGACTCGAATATCATTGATCAGAACCGATAACGAAACAGTGAAAGCTGACACGACTTACTAGCATAAACAAACCAAGCCTATTCACATCAAATAATTTAACTAACAGAAAATAAAACTAAGATTATAGATATAGAAATTAATTTATGATCGCGTAATTATTTAACATGCGACGAGAAGCGGGATCCTCGCAGCAATTAGAACCTAAACTGCCTGGGCCTGCTATACAGGTGGGCCCAGGTGCAGGGGTGATGATACCTCCATCATTTCATCAGGTGGTGTTGGGTTCAGGTGGTTCTCAAATGGGTTCCGCAATGGGGAAGAGAACGGGTTGGTTTTGCGAGGTGACCGAGCTCGAATGATCCTTGGTTTGAATGATGCCTCGAGTACTGACGGGGCAACGTAGGTGAAGCCCTGAGGAAAAAGTGTTCTTAGAATATTTACTATGTTTCAGTGATAAGTAATAAGATAACAGAGTTAATTATGTTATTACCATAATAAGAGTTAAACAGGTAATACTGTATTAAGATTTTTGCAGATTAACAAAGTTAACTCATATTATAAAAAAAATGTTAATCTTTTTTGTCACACTGCAGAGGAACAATTTATTTATGCCCTAGAGTAAAAAGAATCAGGTAGAGCTGAAGGCACCAGCTGAGCTGTACATTTTATTACACAAGTGTTGCTCGTAAATAATCAAATGTATCGAGAGTTAGTAGTTGTTATCAATTGGTATTATTAGTCGTAGTTATACTAATTTGTAGTTGTTGCTTGGTTATTGGCAGTATGGTGATTAATCACTTTTAACCTGATAAGATGAGTAACAAGGAAAATAACACACACAATCATACAACCCCCAAGGCCCCTTTTATTCACCGCGGGCGACCACTGCACCAATGCGTCACCTGCGATCGACCGCTGTCACGTAGATAGTGTAACAGTGCTGCCAACCCTTGTTTGTTAAAACCTTTGTTTTTTTTTTAATGTATATTCAGGGTTGTCAGCAGGATCTATAAACGAAATTCACACATTTTTCCCGGTTTTTCCGGCTACAAAGTACGGAATTCCCGGCGTCTATTATACTTATAAGAACGGCACAACACAAGTTACACTTATCAGTAAATTAAAAAAAGCAAGCCAAATTGCCCAAGGGACTACGTAAGCCCCGACCGATGAAACGGTGAACACTTCGTGACACATAATTAATTAGTGACGCACTGATAGTCGGGCGGGTAAGGGGTAGCGCGGTGGGTCATTATGGGTGCCATCTTGCTAATATCCACTCATAATACTATATTTGGCTAATAATTTGTTCAGAATTATCAGAGGTTATAAACTCTATTACCTTAATCATTAATCAAGCTAGTACAGTAGACTACTGTAGGGGAAATAAATATGTGCACTCGAGATTGAGCCTAAATATCTCTGAGATGAATTATCCGATTTTGTTGAAACAAAAATTAAATATAAGCTGGTTTAAATACATTTTACGTGGTAACAATTAAAAAAATTTCCGTTTGCCAGATCCTAAAAAGTAGGTACCGGTTTTTAAAAATCTCTGCACTAACACTGAAGTTTAAAATTTAATTGTAAACAAACCACTGAGCCAATCCTTCTGAAATTTTTATGGCTAATTGGTAGGTTTATTGTTAACATTTCCATGCATTTTAAAATTTTTACTCACAATAGTTTTTATGCTGCTGTTAATTTTTAAAACGTATGCTAACATCGTTAATAAGACGCTAACAATTTCGTTCAAAATACCATCGTGTTTGTCGTGACACAAGAAATAACACCAATATGACAGATTTATAATGCGAACAAAGGTGTTTTTTAAACAGATTTATATTTTTTGTAAACAACAATTTCTCCCGTGACTGGCGAATGTCAGTGTGGTCGCCAGGTTCATATCGGCAACGTCGCAGATTCGCACGCACTCCCGCCCGGCTGGGAAATATCGTAGGCCTACAACACCCCGCTGCCAGTCGCGCGGGAAATTTTTGTTTACAAATATAAATCTGTTTAAAAAACACCTTTGTTCGCATTATAAATCTGTCATATTGGTGTTATTTCTTGTGTCACGACAAACACGATGGTATTTTGAACGAAATTTTTAGCGTCTTATTAACGATGTTAGCATACGTTTTAAAAATTAACAGCAGCATAAAAACTATTGGGAGTAAAAATTTTAAAATAAATGGAAATGTTAACAATAAACCTACCAATAAGCCTTAAAAATTTCAGAAAGATTGGCTCAGTGGTTTGAGTATAATTAAATTTTAAACTTTAGTGTTAGTGCAGAGATTCTTAAAAACCGGTACTTTTTACGATCTTTCAACTATATAAATTTTTCTGGTAAACGGAAATTTTTTAATTGTTACCACGTAAAGTGTATTTAAACCAGCTTATATTTAATTTTTGATTCAACAAAATCAGATAATTAATCTCAGAGATATTTAGGCTCAAACTCGAGTGCACGTATTTATTTACATCGATCGAAACGCGTGCCAATCAATGATGGATTATGAAAAGAAGTTGCTGAGGTTTGTGCCGATGTCAAGGTCAATTGACAAGAAGTAAACAAATGCCGAACATTTTGCGAACGGCTAGTAGACAGTAGTACACAACAGCTGCGCGGTTAAGCCGAAACACGGTAGAGTTAATTTAATAAAAGAGTTTGTGCACAAATACGTTAAAATGTTACAAACTATTTTTAAATTATTATTATAACCTAAAAAAAACCAATAAGATAAGATAAAAGTATAAACTTGATGCTATTCAAAGTCAATGGTAAAGGTAGGTCCTAACCTCACATTGTGCACAGCTATCCCAAAAGGCAGAGTTTAACGAGACAAATAATAACTTGTGTTGATTGTCTTAAATTTACCCATGTCCGAATGATGTATGTAAAAACAAATTCAATTATAATTACGGATTTTGGTAAATAATAAAGACAACACAGACGTTAAACATATACGTTTATTAGGTAGTTCTTAAAATCCATTAACTCTTAAAATTCACTCGGCACACATTGAAAATTGAGGTTGAAAATTAACATAGTTAAACATTTTGCAGAATAAACTTATACATGTAAGTTTGCAAAACAAAATAAATTTAAGTCGGTTTAGTTATATCAAAAATAAAAAATAGAACAAACAAATGACAATAATATATTTTGATAAACAACATTAGTTACATTAGGCCTAACTAGAGACAGTATTTGCATACGATACAGACTTTGTTTTCTAGTTTGGTATGCGTCATTACAAAGAAACGTAATATGTTCATCAGTTTTCTTGCAAATTATTTGCAATGCCATGCCAATACCAGCTGTCCTGACCTCTCGACATTCCTACAGTAGGCCTACATCTACATAGCTATGATGATAAAATTCTGCCCTTGTTTATATTGATATGCAAAAACACATACCAGAAGTTACAGTACATAGTTATGACATCATTCTGCCCTTGTTTATATTGATATGCAAAAACACATACCAGAAGTTACAGTACATAGCTATGACATCACTCTGCCCTTGTTTATATTGATATGCATTAAACATGCCAGAAGTTAAGACAATCCATCTCCCCTTACACGACTTACATTCCAGGGAATGCCTAATCCATACCAACATGCCTAGCCTCTCCACATTCCTACAGTATATAACTATGACTCAACTCCTGACCTTGTTTTTTTAATTTGTTAGTCTTGTGTGAGATATAATTATAATAATTGAATAAGAATAAAAAAGGCTTTAAGACGTTTTCAGGCTTCCTGAACACCGGCTGGATTGCCGTTCAATGTTAGGAATATTTGTAGTTTTTGGAATGGGTTGGAAAAATAACTTGTAGGCCTACTACTACACATTTATTTTAAAGGCTTTTTGGCTATAATCGCTGAAAATAGGTACTGTATAACCAGATAATATCAGAATAAAATAAATCTTAACACTAAGTTGGATGGAAGTCAGTTGCAGTTCAGCACAATGTAGTCTGCTTCCGGCAACCGGCGGCGTCGGCTTCCCGCGTAGGCCTATTCATGGTGGTAGGTAGTGTACATCCAACTTACCTTCTGCTTCTTCCGAACCATCGCCACTCGCCAGTAAACCGTAAAGTTTGGTTTACTATAAAATCAATCAAGAAAGTATTGCAAAACGGTTTATAACTATTAAAATTACTTGAAAAAAACTGTAATAACGATATCAATTAAATTCACGGAATAATACGATTTTCACGCATATTTCCCGGTTTTTTCACGGCTGTTAAAATTCACGCATAATTCCCGATTTTCCCGGAATTCCCGGCCGCTGACAACCCTGATATTCCTTCAATCTAACCAGTCCAACACAAATATTTGGTTTACAACTGAGAACTGTCATCGATTCACTTCAACGGCTGCTATTTAAGCCTGAAATCTAGCTAAAAACACGAAGAATTTCTAGAAAGAGTTGCAAATAGTGCCAGAGTGGTGTTCAATCTAAATTTTATTTACTGTAGATAATTTCAGACAAAATCTTTCAGTATTTATGTCCGGAACATGACATGAAGTCATTTTTAACGGTGAGAGGTTCAGCTATGTACACAACCAAACAACTATAGTATGTAATAGATAATGCGCACAGCCGAATGACAAGACCACGTTTAGTGAGTGACACTGGTGACTTGGGTTGGTAGCAATGCGAGAGCGACGGCGGGCTCCCACGTTGAATAAACGATCCCATATAACACAATGCATATACGAACCGCTACCCGCCGGCGGTTTCTTAGTGCAAGCGGGTGAATTTACAAACCTCTGCGGGTACCCACAACTTCTGAGACCGCTCCTATTTGAATAAAAGCACCCATTTACGGCAATGCATTTACATAACCGCGGTGAATAAAAGGGGCCTAACAGTTGATAACCTCGGTAACTATGTGGGAGAAACTATGACATTTTATGGGGAAAATCACAAAACTTGCAATAACTTTTGAACCATAATTTTTACAACATTTTCAACATTCTATTTAAAGTTAAAAGGGCAATAACATAGGTGATAATTTTAAAACAAAATCCTTTGGCATATCTTGGTTGAAATCTGATTTTTTCCCGTTATTTTATAGGATTTATAGGAACAAGTCACTTTAGCCTCTGAAGATAAAGTTTTTTTTAATTACTTTGTTCGGTAAACAATATAAATTACCTGAAACACCATGTTAGCACTTTCACTGAGTGTGCTTTCATCAGGGCTGTCGATAGGCGTCTGCTTGGTGAACTTGGTGTCAAACTGGCTGACGTCGTCATCACCACTCAACGCAGGTCGGAATGGAGGCTCCAGTCTACGACTTAACACATCAGCCCAGTTGATGTGTCTGAAGAAGGGGTGTCTCTTGACTAGTTCCCCATCCCCTGGGCCGGCACCTAGTCTCTGGCAAGGAGTGCGCTACACAACACCGCTAATGTTACTAACGGATACATTAAGTGGTAGTAATGATGACAGCACTGCTGTTGTATTTCAACTGTCTTACTTTGTCACGGCGAGAGCACATTCAAAACCTCAATTTTAGGACAACCCTCATATTTTAAAATATTTTAAGTCGGTCATAATCAATTAAAATCAGTGTTAGAGTGACTGGACAACTCAATTTAGACAATCAAAAGTATTTTATCACAAGTGTCAGATGATTTTAGGCTAAAGAAAATGTTTAGATAGGTAATGTTAAAATGTATTAGAAAATCCAGTCTATTTTTTTGAAAACAATAAGTTTATTCAGTTTATTGCAAATAACTCAATTACTTTGGCTAAGAAAACTTAATTACTGGTTGTGTGCACTAATGTAAACAGGAATAATATATATTTTAATTTGATCTTAGTCTTACCTTGAGCAGTTTTCTGACGAGGTCGCGAGCGTCTGGAGTCAGGTATGGAGGAAGCACCAGTTTACCTCTCATGATCTTCTCTATTGTCTTCTTACGGTTCTCAGCAGTGAAGGGAGGCTGTTAAGTTATCAAAATTAAAATCATAATGAAACATGAATAGACTGCATGCGTCTACAGGGTAAATGGACAAAAGGTACAATTTTTTAAACAAGTTGAAAGACCAAGAAGAGTATTTACAGTACTTATTAATTGGTTTTATCACCAGGAAATAAAATTATACTAACATAACTAGAAACAAACTAGTTTTATTGAAAAACACAATATTATTCATTACAATCCTCCTATCTTTGATATTGCAAAAGTGGTCAATGGCAATTAAATATTTTAAATTTAAACTTTATGAGTCTATTTAATTTAAATGTGTCTCCTCCTATTGAGAAGATTCGCCCAATGTACAGGTAAGCCAGCTCTTCTTATCAAAAACAAAATTAAACCTATTCTGGCTCAGGGCCTTTCACCAAGAATACCTTGAAAGTAATAAGTTAAAGTCATGACTAAAAACAATCATAATTTATTTGTCAATGCTTTAGCATTTAGTTTTCAATTTGTTATGTATTATTCTTAGTTGCTATACTGAACAAATTCATCATGGGTGATGCAAGTCTGGAGTTAAGATTATTTACTGACCGCCCCGGTGAGCATGTCGTACATGAGTGCTCCCAGTGACCACCAGTCAACCGCCTTGCCGTGACCACTTCTCGTCAGGATCTCTGGAGCCCTGTCAACATACCGTAAAACTAACTGTCCCTTCTTACTATAAAACTAGCTGCTAATGCCTTTATTATAATTATTCTAATTTTTAATTTCTTTGCTGCCAAACAGGGTTATTAAGATTGTAGTAAACAGTGACAAGAGTCAGTAGTTTTTAGACAACATTTGTATTTCTCAATGCCAGTTTAAGTCATAAATCATCAGTTAAATAGGTTCACACATCTCAAAGAAATCCTAAAGTCACAACAATGCAAGAATTCAAAATGAAATATATGGGAACAGCAAAGCTTATTCTGGGATTTAGAATAACCCGGGATAGGACAAATAAGAAGATTTTCATCGATCAACGAGCCTATCTTGAAAGTGTTAAGAAACGATTCAACATGGATCAATTCAATCATATTTCTATTCCAATAAATGTTGGAGAAAGACTTTCAAAAGTGTAATCACCCAAAACTGAAGAAGAAGCGGAAAAAATGAAGAATGTACCCTATCAAGAAGCAGTTGGAAGTTTATTATTTGCTGCGCAAGTTATATACAGGGTGATAGATATAAGTGTGCCAGCTGTTTTATTCAAAAACTATAAGGGATATCAAAAAAAGTTAAATGTTAAGTGCCTTGGATTTTTTATTTTGAAAATTTTAGTAAAGTCGAAAAAAAATATTTTAGCCGCCATTTTTCCAATATGGCCGCCAACTTTGATTTTTCTTATGGAACACTCTGTATTTTATGATGTAATATTCCAGTAGAAAATGTAATTTTAAGACGATTTTACTCTTGTGTTTTTTTTCATAAACCTAACCGTTTCAAAGATAATAGTGGTTAAAGTTGTGAAATTTCTAATAGTTTTCGAATAAAACAGCTGACATGCTTGCTTAGGCCTTTATCAAAACTCTTTCTCATGCCGAAATTTCAAAACTTATTTTCTACCAGAACACATCATAAAATACCATAAGAAAAATCAAAGTTGGCCGTCATATTGGAAAAATGGCGGCTAAAATATTTTTTCTGATTTGACTACAATTTTTAAAATAATAAATCCAAGGCACTTACCATTTAACTTTTTTGATATCTCTTATAGTTTTCGAATAAAACAGCTGGCACACTTATATCAATCACCCTGTATATATACTGTATACATGAATTTAAACGGATGGTGTTTTTGGCCTCTAGGGACCTCAAAACGAAAAAGTAAATCGGTCCCGGGTCCAGTTCGTACCCTGAGTACTATGGTAATAGCTTATTCCCTATATGGGAAATTCGCTAAAATCTATATCTATAAAAGAGGAACTATGTATGTGTGTGTGTATATATATATATATATATGTATATACGTTATGGACTCCAAAACCGCTCGACAGATTGTAATGAAACTTTCAGGCATTATTAAGCATCTTTCAAGGATGGTTCGAGTGAAGTTTGGTGCAGATCTGTCAAAAGGGCTCTGCCCCAGAGGGTTTTAAGTGGGCCAATGTCAGACTTTTTGATCTACAATGTTTACAAATAAATAATTTAATAGCAGATGTTTACTTTCACCAACTGTTTTGTACGTTTGAATAATTAGGCTACAACATTCTGTATTAGCATTAGTCATGATTTGAAATAGTGCCACAGTGTTTCTACAGAGTGCAGCACAGTAAACTATTTTACTTTTGAATAAGTCCAAATGTATTAAACCCCAATCGCAGCACACCTGTGCACTTAACAATGTTTAAATTCTCTAATGTTAAATATTAAAACATAAAAACCTTTGTATTATAAACAATAAAAGGGATGACTTTTTAAAATTTATGAAAACAGCTAATTTGCAACCAAAAGGTGAGTGAGCGTAGCGAACGAACATCAACCTGGAGGCGAGTTAACGTAGCGAACAAGCTAACCTGAAAACAAGTGAGCGCATTGAACGAGCTCCAACCTAAAGGTGAGTGAGCGTAGCGAACGAACTTCAACCGGGACGTGATTGAGCCATGCGAATACTTATGAAGTTAAACGGGGCAAAGCCCTAGGTACAGCTAGTTAACATATAAAAGTAGTACCTTGAAACAAAATTTGTGGTAGAAAATGGTTTTCTTGGGCCTACTGAAGCAGTTTTTAACGTTACGTTTTTCACATTATATTTTCCGATAGTTACTTATAATTAACTGTAAACCGGCAAAAAATCAATAATTATTACAATGAAAATAATGTATTTTCCAAAATTAACTAAACTAAAAGTCAAAGCTAAAACATCAATTCAATCCACAGTCGCGAGTCTATTGGGAATCGTATTGTCATCACATAAATCGTCTTGTCGTCTGTCTTGTGTCTACACTCTACTACAGTTCAGTTCCGCCATTGCTTGCTACACAAACGCACAACGCGAACAAATATTTATTGCGGTCAAGGTTAAGTCCATACCGGCAATGGCGGCAATAGTTGCGCATTGAACTAGAGCTACAACGCAACCGAAGGTATCATCACAAACAATAGAACTCTCTGTGGTATCACTGAATGCGAGAATTAGGAGACGTTGGCCGCCATATTTACTAAGGGAATAGTACTTTGGAACTAGGGGATTGTGGGATTGCCAATAGCCAATGAGTTGGTTGATTCTTCTAGTGGTACCAACATAACAACATTTTACAGCGTCTCGATTTTCTAGCAGAGTTGCTGTGCCAGTGCTACCTCCATTTGGATGTTTTCAGTCTACAGCTATTTCGTTTCGTAAAAAGCAAGAGCGGTTCCCTGATTCCGTTTACTTATCAGACTTGGATACGATAAATAACTGACATCGTACGATAATTTTGAGCCTGCATGAACTACATCGGTTGTCTGATTCAGAATTCAAACATGGATGATTCGAACAACAAAAAATTGACCATTAGTATCAAGAATCGTGAGTAATATTTCAGAACTGGTATGGAATCGAGAAATTCTGTTATCGGCTTATCCCTATTTAAAATACAATTAATATTCCACTAGGACGTAATTCTATGCGTAGATCGACACTGCTGCTACCCTGATACACGCTTCACGTTATTATAGAGCTGGCGGCGAGTTGGCGCATTCTGTCGACAAACCTGAGATTTCATTCTCGAATCTGGTTAATTTCTAATCTGAATCTTCCGTAAATATACATTCACTATATAACTTTTTTTGGATAAATTGGCTCAAAATTGTTAGAACTATAAAATTCCTCGTAATTAAACGAACATAATGATAATAGTTGAAATTCGCGGAAAATCCCCGAATAATACAATTTTCACGCATATTTCCCAGTTTTTTCACAGCGGCTCAATTCACGCATAATTCCTGATTTTCCAGGTCGCTGACAACCCTTAGAAAGTTATTTTTGTTTACACACCCACAACTAGAAGGTGGCTGATTCTCTGACTAAGGCACTCAATAAAGACAAGCTCATGAAATATATTAATGAGCAAGGAATATGCAAGTTGGGAGGATGTTGTAATGTCTAACTTTCATATTCATCTTGCCCGCCTAATTTGTTTATAACATATAATGTTATAATTATATTATTACTACGTGAAACCCATCGAAATCGACGGTTACTGTCAAGCATACGCTAATTCATCTAACTGCCATAAATAGAGTACATTTTACAAATTTTGAGCATTTAGCAATGTTTAAAGAGTAATAAGTTTAAAAATAAAAATGACTATTTTGTTACCCTAGTAACAAAATATGGTTTCATCATTCAATGAATAAAATATTTCCCATACCGTACATCATCGGAGTTATTGTTACTATGTTAACTAGTTTCTCTTCTTTGGAAGAAACTTTAAATAGTATTAAAATCATATTGGTGGGTCTTTTGTGGTAAACACTTCCGCGATTTCATCAGTGTAATGCAGATTAAATCTACGCTTTTATTTGAGAAAAAATATCTGTTTGTTGAGAAGGCACGTTCTTACTTTAAAGTGTTGTCCACCCTTAACCTGTGTAAGTTTTTTTTTCCTTTGTCAGTCGGTCATCATACCGTACTTCTGTGCCAATGAATAACCCTCTAGCATAGTTTAGAGAAATTAGTTCTGGGGTTACTGTTTAAGCTAGAATTACTTGACATGCGGCGGATGCCAGTTGTCTCAGACTTATCAATTTCATAAAGTGGTCAATATAATCTCTCTTCAAAATGTTAGGTGTAGTGGAATATACTTGTAGTGAAGCTGGCTTTTATTCTTGAACTGTTAAGGGCCTCGTTCATATGGTCGTGCGGCTTCATTGGCAACAAATAATGCAAATGACAAAGCAATGCTGCATTCCCAAAAAGCAAATACTGTTAATTGTTACGTGAATAGTGACGTTTACAGGCATTGTTGTTAATCAACTTATCTTATAAAGGATGATGAGATATATTTTTAAAGGAACATGACTTTTCTGTAATGAGTAGCTGCTTAAATGGCAATTACTCTTTGTGCAATTTTTTTACAGTCTAAGTGTAGTGTTATTTAAAAAAATCCCACGAGCAAGTGGGCCACGGTCCGTAATAGGCCACTGCAAATCATCTGTCAAGATAGGTATAATTTTGGGCAAGGTCTCTGTGTTTGGATGTTATTAGACACGATAAGAGCACAATGAACTTCTTCTGCAGATGAATAATCTGTTAGGTAAGAGATAAATGAATTATAAATGTCACAATCCAAGCGCATTAAAATGGCTGTGGCCTGAACTTTTTTGTAGTATCAAGTTTAAGCATTTTTTGTGTAGATATCAGGGTAAGCTACATAATATTTTTTTAGGCTTCTGATCGTAGCACAATATTCGTTGAGAATATTTTTTAAGAGATACATTAAATGGTTTTGTTGCTGATTGTCGCTAGCCATGCACAGCCCTTATCATTAGTCTAATAACATACAAAGGCTCTCTAAGAGTTCAAGTTCTAATTTGTATACATATCTATATTCATATCTACATATCTATATTATGTTTTCACCATGCCGAATGAATACATCGAAATAACCTTTCTGAAAACTCTGCAGTCAATTGCAATTTTTCAGCTTAATGACTTTATAAATCATGCACATTATTTCTACATAAAAATTATAAAAGATTTAATCCAGTTGCTGTAAACCACTATTAATTTAACAAAATATCGATACGGCTTATATGGTCAACGTGCCCTAATGCACTTATATTATTTTGTATTGTATTAAACAATCAAAATTTTTTCCAATGATTGAAAACATGTAAAAGTGGTCATAAAGGCAGACACCAACCCGTACAATAAATATAGATATGAGATAATTCAATAAGAAATAATTTTTAGAGATACTGAGATATTATGATTTTCCACTGATTTCGTAATGGGAAAATATGACATGATGCAGAAAAAACTCTAAAGGTTACTGGGGCAGAGTCCCGAGGGAATTTAGTTTGCTTTTCTTTAGATGGCTCATCAAAACCAAGACCTTACTTTAGACACCTCTACCAAGCTTCCACACCCAGCCGTTCTCTCAAATTAGTTAAGACAAAGTTTCAAATTTAATATAGATTCCCCCACCTTATGGGAGAAAACCCAACTTTGATGGAAGATCCTGCCAAAACTAATAAAGATTTCAACAAATTAAAACCACTTTGCAAAACTAAATATCGAGGCAATTTTTTTGACACTTCAAAAATCTGTCTAAATATGAGGGTGGAGTTCTGTTCACAAAAATCGGCTTAGCGTATTATATTTATAGATGGATATGTTTTTGTTTATTTTTCTGTCAATATATATAGTTTTTAGAAATTAAGTTTTTATTTTTTAAAGTACCTATAGCAACAACGCTAACAAATTAAAGTCGTTTCAATGCTAGTTTAACTGAAAGCTGGTTTCAAACTATCATTGAAATGTTTATGTTACAAACTATTTGTTTACAAAAATATTGATCGCCGTTGTTTGCCTACATACTCATATACTATTTCACTTTAAAATGTAGCTTTTTTTACCATGTAAAGGATAGTTAGTTAAGAATAGTTCTGCATTATCAGGAAATGTGTGATTTTGCATTAACAAATAAAATTACATAAAAAACATATTTGATCTGATTATAAATGTAACATGTGACTGATATTTCTTGTGTCACAACAAACACAATGATATTTTGAACAAAGTTTGTATAAATTTGTAGAATACATTTTAAACATTAACAAATGTTTGAAAACTCTTAGAAATAAAATTTTTAAATTATATGACAACGCTTACAATAAACCTAAGAATAAGTCCTAAAAGTTCCAGAAAGATTTGTTAAGTGGTTTCTTGACAATTAAGTTTAATCATAAATGTTAGTGCGAAGCTTTTAAAAACCTGTACTTTTTAGAGGTTTTCAAAATGCAAAATCTTTAACCGAAAAAAATTGTCATTGTTGATGACCAATGTGTTAAGATTATGGTTTTTTTGAGCGAAGCTCACTTTCCCTCACTTTGTAACTTCTTTGTAAGAGCATCAGAATGTAATGGCTTGACCAATTGATATGAAATTTGGCCAACAGCTAAAGAATACTGAGCACTATGTTTTGGTAAAAAATATTTGCGAATTTCCTTCTGGATTTTATTTTACGGGTCACGCAATTTTGCTTGGTATTATAATGTAATTTGAAATAAAAATTATATTGGGTTTATGACATATGGGTTTATCTCGTTTCATTTAAATAAGATAAACATATGTTAGTTGTTTGTAACTGTTTTGTTTACATTTCAATGTTTACTTTCATCCTAGGTTAAAGTTGGAATGTAACAGTTTATCAATGGAAGTAACAGTTTTGCTATATTTGTTTTGAGCATGCCTCAAAGGCCACGTCGTAATATTGGTCGTCGCACCAATAATGCAAATATTGTAAGAGAGTGGCGTCGTAAACAAGAAGAACCAGATGAAGCAGTGGCGGAAGAAGCTGATAATGATAGGCAGTTAGCTAATCAATTCCAACATGAATTAGATGCACTAAAATTTTACACTTGCACTAACTGTCATCGCCAACAACTAACAGCTTCAAATCAATCACCGATTTGTTCGCGTTGTCGTTCAAATGCAACTAAATTCACGGCGTTAAATAACGAATTAACTGACCTGACGATTGTAGAACAAATGTTGATTGCACGAGTACATCCTGCTATGCCCATTTACAAAGTACAAGCAAATGGTCAGGATGGCCAGTTTCACTACAAAGGTACAGTATGAACTATCAGATAAATTTGTCTTTAAATTTAGAACTTAAATAATATCGGGCAAACAAACGTTGAATCTGTTGAAAGGGAACATTTATTGTAGGGTGTTAGCTGCTTTAGCCATTGACAATCTTTAAATAATGCTTCGCTCATTTATGCGTCTAAAGTGAAACGGCAGACCACCCTAGTTTACTTTTTTTTACTTAAATTTGATTTTTGTTTTATTACAATCAGATGATCCATATTACAGATATTTAAGCTCAAACTCGAGTTCCCCTGGTGTTTTCCTCGACAGTGGTTCAATTGAGAAAGTATTTTGAGGAAAGTGAATCTGGGTTAAACTACATTCACTATTAAACAATAATTGGGGAAAGCGGACCTTAAACAACAAAAAACTGGATCTGAAAAAGAGTTCAAACTGGATACCACATTTCAATGTTCTGTATAAAAGGCCTCCAAAATCTCCCTATCCCCTATCACATACTACCACAATCCGTTTCCTAAAGTACAGCTAATTGTGTTAACTAATTTTCTTTAAATCATTGTTCTACTCAACTTTAACATCATACCTCATCACAATTAGGCCTACACCTTACATTGCCCCTCACTATACTCACATGTACTCAATGGTGCCACAGAATGTGTGAGTGACACTGCCCTCCTGGATGTGTTCCTTGCACAGACCGAAGTCTGTCAGTTTCACATGTCCCTGGGAATCCAACAGTATGTTTTCTGGTTTCAGATCTCTGTTGAACACATAAAAGTTAGGAAAATTTTGTAAAAAAAGGTTACAAACAACTAGTATGGTGTTTTTAACAAATAAAACTTAGTTTGCAATTTGCATTGAGTATACCAAGTTGATTTTACAATTGCTGTTGTGTCAAGGGGTATTTAAGGGTTACACAATACTATGGTATAATAAGGTACTTAAAAATAGTTTTCACATTGATTGAATTCAGAAGTTACAATTCTTGCACCAAAATATATGTATAAATATAAGATTTGGAAATATTTTCTTAGGGCAATACAGTCTAAGCTGTCAGTTATAGCACGGCCGCAGCGTTCAAAGTGGCAACACTACACTGCTCAACGCTCGCACCGCGGAGGAAGCACTTGTATCTATTAATTTATATTTTTTATATCCAACAACACCGATTTGTACAAAAGGAGAAGGAAAGGATAATATGAGGTTTTTTGTGTTGACACAAAAATATATAATATATCATTTTTTCCAAAAAAGTTATTTATCTATTATACATTGCTTTTTCATAAATCTTAGCCTATACAAAAGCAATTAATTTTATTATTATTGACCTGTATTAAATAAAATTTTCGAGTTTATTTTATATATATGAAGTAAAATTTCCACTTTTATTGTTGGCTTTGGGACCAAATCGTATTTTGATGCATGCTTAATCAAATCACGATTCGATGCATTGAATCGAATAATCAAATACCAATTTTCATGCATTTTTTATGCATCGCACACTACTATATTTGACCATAGATAAGCGCGGTTGCCATGTCGGTCGACCGGCCAACTCAGCCAGGTGGGAGAGATTCCCTCGCCTTGCACCCGCAACGTACATACAGTGAACGAGCACTTCACGCTCTTCTGCTGCTCTGTCCAGTGTTGAGCTTCAATAAAAGATGTTTTCTTCTGAGAGTTTTAAAGCCTTTGTGTGATAAACGTAACATGAACTGGTTGAATATTGTTGTACGTTTGCCAGAAACTAAAAAATGTGATATACTTACATTAAAATGTACTTTTTATAGACAGTAGTCTATGCAATATGTAACCTAAGCATTTAAACCTGGAGGAATTTTTTTGCATTTTAAACATTACAAACAGAGAATAAGTGTTTCACCAAACAGGGTGTCTTGTAACCATATGAACAAACTTTGTCACGTTATTCAGCATGTCAAAAGAAGCAAAACATTTAATAATTTTCTATCTAATTTCGCTTTTGGTCTGTCTGTCTGTATGTGATTTTTACAAAAATATTCATATAGCTCCTTAACCCTAGCGCTGGCAAACGCCGGATATACGGCGCGAACGGCCGCGGCCGAAATGGCAACGCCGGATATACGGCGCGAACGGCCGCGGCCGAAATGGCAACGCCGGATATTCGGCGCCAATGCAGATGTTACAGTAGGCCTATATTAATTTTTTTTTTTTTTAGTTTTGTTCACTTTTTAGGGCTACTGTTGTAATAAATAAGTTAAATAATACAAACCAGAGTAAGTACCCTGGAACTATATATTATAAAAAAGGTGTACGGTTTTGTACATGACCTGGGTTGGATGATTATTTGGTACTAGCGCGGGGGTACGATCGACATAGTAATAGGGCTATCAAACAAAATACACAAAATAAGCTATATAAACTATATATTTTTGGAATCAGCACAAAATTTACCACAACTTTACAATTTACCTTATGATGATAAGTCTTACATGCACTTAGCTATACGACGGAATATAAAAACATTTTATAAAAAAATTAATAATGCATACAATTTGGAAAAACCAAAAAACCAAAATTTTTTTGTGGTAACCATGTAAACCACCTATATTATTGTTCTTTGTGTTATTCTGAACAAAATGATATATAACAATCCATAGTTATGTTGATATTTCAAATTTTTATGATGGTTTAAAAATTATATTACATAATCAATAATATCCCTATGCCAGTACAGCGTTACACTAGTGCCAGCTCTAGGGTCAACTGTTTGAGCTACGGCGTTTGAATTCTATAAAAATGTGTTTATTGACAATTATTATTGTGCAAAGTATGTATAAAAAATATTGAACCTTTGAAAAATTGTGGCTTTAAAAAATATTTAATGCCATGAAAACCTTTAATTTTACAACATACTTGCAGAATACGTAAAAGTTGGCAAATTTCATGCAGATTACAAAGATGTATTAAGCTTAAGTTTGGATCAAGAATGACTGAGAAATTAATTTTATTTTCTTGCCCTACCTACAGTTTTCTCTATTAAACAATAATTATATATAACTATAACATAACCAAATAACTATAACAATAACTATATTGAACAATGTTTAAAAGTTTACCTGCGACCGTTTTTTAAATTAGCCATTTCAGTTCTTGAAAAGTTTCACTTAACAGCTGTTTACTTTCATACAGCATAAAAAGTTTCATTTCATAACAGCATAGTTTTTCTCATAACAACACAACGGACCAATGAGTTTCAACACAGAGTATGTTTTTTGTGGTTTCAAGGATTGAGAGAAAAGAAGTAAAATTATAATGCTTCGAACATCAACTAAACAGCTGATCAGCTTATTAGTTGACAATTTTAATTGTTGATCCGACTTGTTCCTGTTGATACTCGCGTATTCTTATTGATGGAAGTTAAAGGAAGGTAGATTAAACTGATTTTAAAACCTTCCAAATGGCTCTAAACAATATTAGAATATTAATTTTGTGAGAACTAATCCAAACAGCTGATCGTTATTTCAAAAAATGTAATAGAATGGTAATAGTAAACAATAGGAGAAAATTTGACAAAAATCTAACAAAATTGGGGTTTTGATGGTTAGTTATTTTGTTTTCAAAGAAGCGAGGCCATGTTTTTATAGCCAAAGACATTCTCATCAATCCAGTAAATACAGAAAAATGATTTGAACGTTGATCGGTACTCTAGTTTTCTAGGAGTAGGCCGTGTAAAGTGACATTTTGGCGTCACAGACAGAATGACAGAATGTACAGACAGACAGACTGACAGAAATTGAGATAAGACTCGTTTCGGCTTTATTAGGCTATGAAACGTAAAAATAACCAAAAACTGCATAATTCTAAGCAATGTACAGACAAAAACTGTAATTTTATTTATATGGATGTCGTATAGGGGCATGGACGGATGTACGTCGGGAAGTTCTCGAACCAAAATACCTAAAAACGCAAATTTCTAAAAATGATTTTAGACCTGAATAATGAGTGTGCCAAATTTTAGCCTTCCAGCTAGTCCAGAAGTTTAACAAATTAGTGATTAATGTGTCAGTCAGTGAGTGAGGCTTATACAAAACAGTGAGGAAATACAAAACATTAATCTAGTGATATTGAACAATAATTATCTATATAATTTCTATTGATTTTCATTGCTATTAAATTAACTGTAATTTATTGGTACTAGCTGTTACCCACAGGCTTCATCCCGTTTGACTTCATAAGCATTAATAAAACTTTTTATTTGTTAAGTTAAGCTGAAATAAACAAAACAGAATACAGTAATACAAATAAACTATCACACCTGATTTTGTATTTTTAACATTAGGTTAATGGAAAGTTCATTTTAGAAAGGAATTACAACCTTTAAGGGCTCTTTATGAAATAATTGATGGTTTAACGCAAGGTTTCTTGTCATGACCAACATTTTAACTACCATGAAATGAAATGAAATGAAATATGTTTATTTATCCCAATATAATTACAGAAAGACAAAGATAAATAAAAACAGTGAGCAAGATTAACTACAGTAGTACAACTATAATTATTAAATGAATCTGCCATACTTATGGGATAGGCCTACATGGGCAGGTGCCTGTGCGTAGGCCTGGTTGCTATCAGTCTGCGAAATTTTAAGGGCAAAAACTGAATATGGGGGATTTGTTTTTCTTAATTATTTAAAAGAAAACTGAAATGCGGTTGAGAATGTCAGCGACGACAACCAAAGCCAGTTCAATAAAAAAAGACATCTGGAGGGTGAGGTGGTCTAAGGGTCAAGGATTTTCAGTCAGAGTCAAGTATGGTTTGGTCTAATCAAAGTCTCGGCCTCTTCTATGGTAATGGAGTGCAGTAAAACAAGAATATGAGTCTTGAATTTCTGTAATGAGGGTAAACTAAAAACGTGTTGAATATCATATTTTTGAATTAAATTTCAACAGAGGATCTGAGCAACATAAAAGCAGTTGGTAGTTAGAACTGATTTATGTAGCTGAGGAACAGATATTCTAACATTGTGGGAGTATCTTGTGAAGTGCTGATGTGTGACTTCTGTAAGAATCGTGTTTGAGTTTTTGAATGTGTGATTAAGAAGGAACTGGATGAAAAGATGTCTGACCGGTAGTATTCCCGTCTCACGGAATAGAGCATCAGTGAGTACCTTTTATTTTTTCTAAAAGCAACTTTCAAAATTGATCTTTGAATTACATTCAAGGGTTCCAAGGTGGTGTGATAGCATGCTCCCCAGCAAATAATTCCAAATGAAATCAAGGATTGCACATAAGCAAAATAAGCTCGCTTTACGTCATCCTCGTCTAATAATTCACTCAATTGGTTAAAAGCATAGATATATTTACGAATCTTTTTCTTCAAGAAATCTACATGCTCTGTCCATTTCATTCGGTAGTCAAAATAAACACCCAAATATTTATAATAATCTACCCTTTCAATGTACTCACAATTACAAGATAAACTATTATGGTTGCCGCAGCAATGAATCTTCAAATTGTCTAGATTATAATCAGTGCTGATACTGAGTGATATGGGAAGGAATTTAGTCTTGGTTACATTAAGTGAGAGCACATTTTGATCTAACCATTTCTTTAGAATTGAGAGATCACCAAGAGCTTTGGACCTGACATCCTCCCATGAACAACCCTTTATCAAAACTAAAGTGTCGTCGGCAAATAAAAACAGTTCACCATTTAGGTTGAGTTTCAGTTTAGAAATGTTGTTTATATAAATTAGAAAAAGTATGGGCCCCAGAGTACT